TAAGAATTGAGCTGCTTGCTGCTTCACTTTTATGCATTGAAAATAACAGGGTAGTCCTGCATACCTGTACTTAGTGTTGGCTGAAATAGATCTATCCTCCCAGCCATGAGGTAATTCATGATTTTGTGGTGTAATATATGTATATATATATGGTTGGATTGATGTGAGTTTGTGACATCAATCATATCAATCTAAGCAAATATGTTAGCTCTATCTCTGATATTGAGTGCTTTCTAATAAGTACCATGCATATAATATATAAATAATTATATATATATATATATATATATATATACACCTTTCACACACACACACACACACACACATATATTGTGTATATATATATATATATATATATACACAAACTGGGTGTAACAGCCAAATTGTCCAAATCATGTAACAGCATAATTATCCATCCCACAAAATGTTCAATATCTAAAGAACACTAAATTAACTTACTTTCTTTTTTCCTGGTTTTCAGATAAAACATTTAGCCATCTTGTCACCATTTTTCGTAAAAATCAATGAAAACCCCTTTGAGTTGTTCAGCTAAAAAGAGTGCAATTTAAAATTATTTTGTGTCAGACCTACCGTCTTCCCATTTGAGCAATGGTGGGAAGAAAAGATCATTCAGGCCTTCAGTAATGGTGCCAACATTCATACTCAGGCTTCTAAGTCCATTCAAGAACCATCATGAGAAGGGTAAATAAGATTAAAAAAGAGGAAACAGTAGAGAGGAAAACTGGATCACAAGTTCACAACAGGAAGAGGGATCCTTGTTTCAACTTAGAGCTAAAGAGATCAATTAGAAAAGATCCAACTTAGTCCATAAAACATTTGGCATGTGAGAGAGTAGTTTCATTTGTGTACAAAGAGCATTGAAAAAAGACTTGAAAATGTAATTGTACATGAAAAGACAGAAAATTAGGAAGTTACAGAGTGTGAAGATCAACTTGAATAAGTTGGAAAATGATCATGGAATAATATATATATATCTGAACTTTATTCCAATAATTCATGAGTTTTCAATCCTTAGTTATGATTAATTAATTATGAACATGTCATTTTAATTTATGATTGATTTCATCATGCTACTTCTGTTAAGATTAAAGAGTAACTATACAATCTTATTGCTCATAGTAGAGTCCAATAGTGTTATAAAAACCTTGGAGAATTCCAGTAATTTACAATGATTCAGAGCTTAATCTAACAATTGGACAATTTTGCTGTTAAATGATTTGGACAATTTTGCTGTTACACCCAATATATATATTTATATATAATTATTTTTTATAAAAAAATTATAACATAAGTATGTTATAAAATCACTACAACAATAGCCATTTTGTTTCAACACACTCTGTGTCTTATCAAGTGACATATATATATATATATATATATATATATATATATATATATATATATATATATATATATATATATATGTATATATGTCAGGCCATGACAATTGCATCTAGCATGAAGCACCCTGTCACCTCTAAGTGCTGACTTCAATGTTCACTTTTATATTTACACATGCTCTATCTCTGATATTGAGCACTTTATCCCATACATATAGCCCACCTTAAGACTATATATATATATATATATATATATATATATATATATATATATATATATATATATATGTATGACCGAAATGTGACTTGTTGATGTTATTGGTCTGGGAAGATAATCTCAACATGTTGTGAGTGAAAGTGGTCAGACAGAACTGTTTGGAAGTTTTAAAGCTGTCATGTGCTTTTTCCTAGAAACTCTTACTATGGTCCCCTATATGGTCCCTCCTAGGGTTTATACTGAAACTATGCTGAGCAGACCTTAGGTTGACCCAAACATTCTGAGGGAAACTGGTTAGACAGAACTGTTTGAAAGCTGTTGATATTAGCTTTCTTCAAACTGCTGATCATACCAAATAATTTGCTCTATCTCAGAAACTGTAACTAAAATCTACTCAACATACTCATTACAGTATAAATCACAGGTGGACTCTGTTGGTTGAGCAGCCATTTGTAATAGGAATTTGGTATCTACCCTAGCAGACAGGTGTGCATGGAAAAAAGTAATAGCTGACAATAGGATGACAGGAAATCATTGTATTCAGATTTGAATCACACCAATATTTAAAAATATATTTTAATAATACAATGGAGTTAATATTTCAATTTTGTACATGAAATAAGCTTTGGATAAGGCCAGTAAACTAGACAAAAAGATCATCTTTAGATGTGTACATCTGTAACAAAACAATGTCTCATTGTATGTTCCCAGGCCAATGTTTTCTGCTGCTATGAAGTGGAAAGATTATGTTGAATCAATTGATAGGTCTTCTGATAGGAAAATTTGGTTCACTGTATCATGCTAGACAATTTTTCTCTCCAGAATCTATCTTACATATTTATAAGTCTGCTATTCGCCTAAACTTTGAATATTGCTGCTACATATAGTCTGGTGCTCCTGGTATATATTTAGAGAATCTGCAATATTATTGGTCCTGCTGTGGCATCTTGGCTGAAGCCACTTTCTCACTACTGTAATGAAATTTCCCTCTGCTGTTTCTATAAATATTTTCATGGTAATTGTCCTGATGAACTTTGCTTTATGGTACCTAGAGTTTATGAATGTAACCACAATACTAGATTGGCGGCAAAGTGTCATCACTTTACAGTTGATATTGGCAAGAAGTAACTGTATGTCCTTTTCTGACAGTTTCTTTTCTTGCAGTTCTCACCTCCAGAAATCTCTTGTTAGCCAACTTTGATCTTCAAAAACTTAAATAAAATGTTGATCATTATCTACTATCTTCTTGATTCCTCATCATTGTGCATTCTTGAACTATCGTTTTCAGCTGACATGAAATGGAAAGAGTATAATTGAATCAGTTGCTAAGTCTGCTACTTGGAATGTTGGTTCACTGTGTTGTGCTTCACAATTTTTCTTGCCAGAATCTGTCTTACATATTTATAAGTCTACCATTCTTTCATGCTTTGAATATTGCTGCTCGACAATTTTTCTTGCCAGAGTCTGTCTTACATATTTATAAATCTACCATTCTTTCATGCTTTGAATATTGCTGCATGACAATTTTTCTTGCCAGAGTCTGTCTTACATATTTATAAGTTTACCATTCTTTCATGTTTTGAATATTGCTGCCAAATCTAGTTTTATGCCCCTGTTATTTATTTAGAGATTCTTCATAAAAACAAAAGATGAATCTGCAATGTTATTGATCATGACCTGTCATCTCAGCTTTAGTTATTTTCCCACCATTGTAATATAGCTTCTCTGCACCTTTTCTATAAAAAAACGTTTATAGTAATTGTTATGACGTACTTTCCTATGTTGTATAAGAATTGTAATTTTATAAAATATCTCTAAAATTTCACACTCTAAAATTATTGTTTATTTTAAGGAAAGAATGGTGTCAGTTTAAAATGACTTCAGTTTTTCTTGTGCGTAATTATTCACATAAACTTTTCATGAATTTAAGTGCAGTACTAGATTGGCAGCTAGGTCTCATCAATTCACAGTCGAATTGATTAGATGTAACTGTAAGTTCTATATAAACAGTTTCTTTTCTCACACTTCTCACTTGTCGGAATATCTTCTGGTGCCATACTTTCCAGCCAATTTTCATCTTCAAAAATTTAAATGCAATGTCAATTGTTATCTACTGTCTTCTTGATTCCTCATCTTCATTGTTCTTGCTCCTTAATAGTATTTCTCTTTTTTCTTATTCTTTCCAACTGCTATCTTAGTGGCTTTATTGCCTTGTTTGGGGTGAAATGATAAAAAAATCTATATTGATATGCCCTCTTAGTTTTATTTCTGTTATTGTTGATTTCAGTCTTACTGAAAATGACTGCAAAACACTTGCCCCACTATTTTTATATGCAGAAGCACAAAAATGCATGATGGGAATTTTTTCATAGCCAATAAAATAGGCTGGTTTGCAGTTTGACACAACACAGTCCTGATCTGCCTTGCTAGAAGACAGAATGCTACATTCACTTGTACAAACTTGCTTTTGTGTGTTGACGCCAATTCTTTGTGAGCATTTTTCCTTCTTACAGTTAATCTGACATGCATATATTGTTTGATTGCTTGCATAATATTATTTTATCTTTTGCCCTATTCCTTTTTCTATTTATTGCAAACTTTCTTAATTCTATTTATTGGACAGTTCTGTTATTTATTTTACATTTGATCATGACTACTCACTGCAAAAAACAAACAAATAGGAATGAGTTTCCCCTCTGCATTTTATAGGCAGAAACACACAAATGCATGCTGGGATCTTTTCCTAGCAAATAAATTAGGCTGGTTCTCAGTTTCAGCTGACTCAGTTCCGGTCTGTCTTGTCTTGAAGTCAGAACACTACATTTGCTTGTTCGAACTTGCTTTTGTGCATCAACGCCAATTCTTAGTTTGTGAACTTTTTGCCATTTTACTGTTGCTTTGCTTTATTACTTTTAATTTGCCTTGCATATATTGTTTGCTTGCTTTATATTATTTTTTACCCTGTTCTTTTCTTTTCTTTATCTTGTAAACTTTGTCAGTTTGCTGGCTACCCACTACACAATTATAACAAAAACTGAATTTACCAAAATAAAACAATCTTTATTCACTTCAATACTGTTATCTAAAACAATGTAAAGATCTTAAGGAAAGATATTTTTAAACATCATTTGCTGCAGCACTTCTCTTGGCTTTTAAATTTTTTATTCAGTGAATAGACAATTTGTTTAAATAACTCACTTCTGCTTCATAATGCACTCTAATGTATTGTAATGTAAGTGATATATCACTCTATGAACTATGCTTTGACATGACTTGACGATTAAACCATGTGTATCAAACCTTACTAAGCATGACAACAGGCATTTTACTGTTTTTGTTACATCTGCTGCCCTGACAACTTAATCATATTTTTACTTTTCTTTCTATGTTCCTTTTTAACATGAATTTTATTCTTATCTTTTATGAATTTTTCTTTGTTCTTTCTACTTTCACTTTCATTTAGCTCTATGTATGAATTCACCTCTTCTCTTTCCATATTTAGGTTAAATAGTACAATTTTTATCAGAAAACACTTCTTCTTTTATGTACTGTATCTATTCAGAATGTAAACAATCATGGCTCTCCACAATTTCCTGTATTTTGCATCTCTTAATAACTTTTGTCTTTTTGCCATCTCTCCCAAACCCTGACCTGCTATCTGTTCTCCAGGTAGGTTGTTCATTGCTTTTTCTCTAACTCTCTTACTTTCAATCTGTCCTGTGAGTATCAAATTATCCAATCCCTCTTTTCTCATTATGGGTGTCAAAAATATTAACTGTCTCATCATGATGTAAAGTATAGCTATAAAACGGTTTGTTGTCATTGTCTACATTTGCTCTATGGTGTTCTTAGCATCCATCTGTAGAACCACATTTCTGTTACTTCAAGTCTCTTCTTCATCTGCAAGATTTTCCAGAATTCACTGCCATAGAGGAGGACTAATACTAGATAACAGTTCACTACTCTTTTTTTGTTTCTAACTAAATTTTTTTTTTTGTTTCTTAATACTTTTGCTTAGCTTTTGGAAGACACCTATTGCTATCCCAACATGCCTTCAGATTTGAGTGTCACACCTTCCGTCCCTGATAAAAATGTGCAAATTGATGCCTTTGTTGCATTTAGCGAAGATGTTTTAGCTTTAATTTGTGGAATGTGTCCAACATAAGCAATGACATCGCTTGCTTCTTTTTTTTTTTATTTTGACCAAGCCATCTTTGTGATAAATCTAAAGATATAATATTTTCAGTTAAGAATGGTGATAGTCTTAACAGGAGGAGTACCCGCAACCAATTCTTCATCTGCAAGGAGATTGTTCTGAATTCGCTGCCATAGAGGAGGACTGATACTACATAACAGTTCAGTATTCTTTTCTTTCTTGCGAACAATATTTTTCTGTTTCTTAATGTTATGGGACCTTACCCATAACATAATGGACTATTCCATACGTAATAAATGCTGCATCTCAAGAGGAAGCAGAGAGTTCAGTCTGAAGTCTGGAGTGAGGTCCATCAGTAAGTCCGTCAGTCAGTCAGAATGAGCGAGTCAGTCAGTCGAGTCAGAGGCAGTCCAAAACAGAGTTGCGTTCAGACAATTACTACTAAACCTAATTGTTCGTACTAACACTTTCTACTTCTCCGTATATATTCCTGTTTGTAATATATCTGTGTTCTTCCATATCCATGTTCGAGTTCTTCTTTATTGGTTCTACCTTGGACTAACACCGTGGTACAAGGAACCAGACCATAACACTTAATATATTGCTTAGCTTTTCAAAGGCATCTTTCCTATCCCAATGTGCCTTTGAACAGTGAACAGACAAGATTTTCCATTTCAGATGTTAAACAAATAAGAGTATTATTACATACTTTATCTCCCTTTTTGTTCTTATTATGGATGCTTTCTTTTACTCACAAAATGAAACAGCATCTCTATGTCTTTTCCTTCCATCTTTCCTTACAGTCATAATGGAATGATCCATTATTTATCAGTGGTAAGGGCAGGGTGTAAAACACATGCTAACTCAGAGGAATGACTGTAATTATATTATTTTCACTTTTCTTTCTGTATTCTTTCAATCTCAATTTTAGTTCGGCCTTTTATTATTTTTTATTTGTTCTTTTTTTTTTACTTTCACTTTCATTATATTTTCCCTTAACTGAATCTTTCATGTTCTCTATGTATTTTAAGTTCCACAATTTCATTTTCTAAACAAGATTACTTTTCAATGGCAATTTCTCTTCCTACTTACTTTCATTCTTCTGAACTGAAAATAATTTTAAAATTTACACTTCTACCAACATTTACTTTCACTTTCACTTTCCTAATTGTCCTTACCTCCATTCTGCAAGGACTTTCTAGTTTTTCTATAATCTTAATTAATTTTCAAATTAATCGCACTGTTTTGTTGAATTTACTTAACTTTCCGTACTTTATTTTACAATTCTTGCAGTTTCCACTCCTTTGATTGTTAATTTCTGCAACTTCTTTCAATTACATTATTTACTGCTCGCATCTACTTTTTAAAATATTTTATTTATGTTTACTGTAATTATTCATATATAATACACACCTTTTTCAGATTACTAAACCTAAAAGTTACATTTTTTAACTAATTGTCCACCCAATATAAGGCCCAAGAACCATTCAAAGTAGAGTGTTACTAGTTGAGGTTGATTCATATAGGAGGAAGAGGAGGCAAGAAATGCAGTTTATGAAGATATGTAGGAAAGATAACAGTTAAGCATAGACTTGAAGAAGATAAGATTGTAGCAATCAGGGAAACAATCTCATGGGAGTCTATTTCAAAGATGGTGGTTTAATGGAGCTTCAATCTTACTGATGGAATATGAATGGAATGGGGATGATTTGTTTCAATGTAAGTAACTTGGTAGATTTTAGTTGTGAAGGTCAGAACTGGTAGGACTAATATGTGAAGCTTACCAGATTTTCACTTTAATTTTGCTTTCATTTTCAACTATCAATCAGTTTCTATTTTCACTTTTCAATTAATTTCTTCCTTTCAATTACATTCTATATACTCAGTACATTGACTTTTCATTCTTTCCCTCTCTCTCTTATCACTTTCTTTTTTCTCTCTTTCTTCCACTTCTTTGACATTTCTCCCCTCCTCTTTGCTCCTTACTATCCTTTCTTTTTTCTTTCTTTCACTTCTCTCAGATTTCTTCCTCTCTCTTTGCTCCTTTCTCTTTCTTTTTTCTCTTTCTACTTCACCCACACTTCTTCCTTCCTCTTTGCTTTTTTCTTTTTTACTTTCTTCCACTTCTCTCTCATTTCTACATTCTTCTTTGCTACTTTCTCTCCTTCCTTTTTCTTCTTCCTTCCACTTCTCCCATACTTCTTCCTCCCTTTTTGCTCATTTCTTTCTTTCTTTCACTTCTCTCCACTTTCTTCCTTCCTCTTTGCTTTCTTTCCTTTCTTTTCCTGCTTTTGTTTTGACTTTCATATTTACCTTTTCTTTTGTAAATTCTCCATTCTGCATCTTTTATTTCTTCATTTTTCCATGTTATCTTCACATCCTTTACACATTCCTATACCTAGAATATATTCTGATAGAGTTTATACTTTCACTTTCAGTTTCACTTTGCAATCTATTTCTTCCTTTCAATTTCATGTTATATCCTTAATACATTAACTTTTCATACTTTTACTCTTTCTCTCTCTCTTATCTTTTTGTCTTTTCTTTCTTCTCTTTTTCTTCCAGACTTCTTCTTTCCTCTTTGGTCATTTCCCTCCTTTCTTTTATCTCTTTCTTCTTTCCTCTTTCCTTTCTTTTCCCTACTTTTAGATTCACCTCTTCTTTTGTACACACTCCATTCTCTCTATCTTCTATTTCTTTTCTTTTTTTCACCTGTACTCCCTGTTTTACAATGTTACCATCCCGTCCTTTATACGTCTTTCTACCCACTTCATGGGATGAATGTATTTTGATAGCGTTTGATCGATGACTTGAATACAACAAGCAGGGAAAATGTTACCGTGTACTGATGGATTGATTTTTTGCTTGATTAGTCAACTGGTTGGTTAAACAATTGATAGATTAACCAACTGAATGAATGACTGAGTGAACATCTGACGGATGCTTGAATAAGCTGGTGTGTCTAATAAGACAAGAATATGCCAGGTATTCAGCATGTGCCATTGCTTTATTTTAAAAGCTTGTCTCAGCCAATGAAAAAAGACAGGAGCCTTTAAGAAATACCATCAATAAATACCATCAATAAATACCATCAATAAATCGTGATATTTTAGCAAGTAAAATACATGCCTGTTAAAGATAGAAGTCATAAATTTTAGCTTCCGACTTTTTATATCTTTGAGAAATTGAAGGATAAATTAATTAAGGTAAGTGGTTAAAGCCATTGTTCAGATCACATCAACCAGTTTTTATTGTAAGTTTTGGAGAAATGTTAAATTTCATCCAATCATAAAAGAGTGAAGGATGTTTTTTTTGCAAAGAAATATAAGAATTCATTTCACCAAAGAAATTTATTAGAAAACATGTTTCAGTTTGAGAAGGATATATATTTTTTCCACTTATTCTCAAATACAAATCCTCTCAGGATTATTATCAGATAACCATGTCACCTACCCTAAATCCATCATAAAAATTCCAGATATACAATTAGTAAATACTAAACACTTTCAATACTGTATGGATATGTTATAATGATGAGAAGGGTCTATGCTGATGACTTTAGTAGTCCGACTATATAAATTTAAGAGTACTACTAGATTGGCATTTAAGCCCAACTTGTTTACTGTTGAAATAGCTAAATGTAACTGCCAATTCTACTCCAGTATTTTTTCCCTTGCACTTCCTTCCTGCTGAACACCCTTCCATTTACATGCTTCCCTGATAATTATCATCTTCAAAAATTTAAATGCAACATCAATCACCATCTTCTATCTTCTTGAATCCCATTCATCTTTTATTTTTTCCTAAATCTCTCCTATACCCATTTTTTCTCTCATATTCACCCTCTGTAACCCCCTGCATACTCGTGATATTCTCACCTTGCTTGGGGTGAAATGATTAAAAAAAAATTCATAGTTGGGAAAAGAATGATCTTAGAAAAAATTATCATCTTCAATAATTTAAATGCAACATCAATCGCCATCTTCTATCTTCTTGAATCCCATTCATCTTTTATTTTTTTCTCAATCTCTCCTATACACATTTTTTCTCTCATATTCACCCTCTGTAACCCCCTGCATACTAGTGACATTATCACCTTGCATGGTGTGAAATGATTAAAAAAAAATATTCATAGTTGGGATAAGAATGATCTGGAAAAAAATTAACATCTTCAAAAATTTAAATGCAACATCAATCGCCATCTCTCTTCTTGAATCCCATTCATCTTTTATTTTTTTCTCAGTCTCTCCTATACGCATTTTTTTTCTCATTTTCACCCTCTGTAACCCCCTGCATACTAGTGACATTATCACCTTGCTTTGGGTGAAATGATTAAAAAAAAATCATAGTTGGAATAAGAATGATCTTGGAAAAAATTAACATCCTTTACCAAGTATTCCAAGAAATATATAACTCAAAGTAAAACCTTTCCCAAAGCAGAAGCTATGATCTTGGATTGGAATGAAAGCAGTGATGGCACATACCCTGAATTCATCATAAGCATTCAGTATATGGACTTTCTAAGTATTAATCATAGGTTAAGGCTGTGCTGGGATAGTTTTGCTCAACATAAATCACTACAAAACCAGAACATTAACCTAAAAACTTGAGTCATGCTCTTAAATTACCTCATTAGATCAACACTTTCATATGGTTGCCATGCATATCACCAAATCTGTTCAGAAATATCTAAACTGTCAGCTGTATACTATTTTCATTATTTGGACTATGGTCCTCATCTTTGTTGCCATATTTATCACAACGTTTTGGCCGTTGTACGTTCTCGCCATTTTCAGGTGGTTTGAATGTCAAACTGAAACCTTTCGCTCACTGGGGTAGACAGTTCTAGTTCCATGTTGTGATAAATATGGCAACAAAGATAAGGACAATAGTCCAAATAATGTAAATAGTGTATATAATACCCCATCTCAGAAATATAGACAGATACTGTCAGCTGTATACAATCACATTCCAAGCTCAATGGTTAAAAATGGCTTTGAATGAGTGAAGCCTATGGGTTTTCGTTAATTCTTCAAACCTTGTGGACTAGTACTACAAAATCACAAACAAAGATATTTACCAAATAACAGAAACCCCATCACTTGAAGACTTTCAGCAGCAGCAACAACTAAAATGGCTATCCCAAGCAATTCCCTCATTTCATTATTTTCTATTCAAATAATGAAATAATCAAGATGTGGACATTCCACACTACTTCAAACAAAAGATTAGGAAAGAAACTCCTGTCAATGATAGAAAGATCAATAACAGCTACTGGACTTGAGAAATTTATTTTTTAGTATTCATAGTGTTTCAAATCTGTTCAGAAATATCAAAATTGTCAGCTGTATACAAGCATTTTCTAAGATCAATGGTTAAAAATGGCTTTGAGTGAGTGATGTCTGTGAATCTTGGTGAAGATGGACTCTTTCAAACATTGTTGTGTCCAAAATATTTAAATTTTGGTATTAAATAACCCATAGAAGTTGATATGCTACTAAACAAAATCAAGCAACCAACAAACCGCTGATAAAAAGAAGTAAAAAACATAAATGAATAATTTTCTATCTTCTGGTAAATAATTGTAAAAATGTATCATTATACTCTTGTCCCAATTGTCTGAATTTTATGTAAATGATCAATGTCTCTTTCCTTATCAATTTTGCCCGTGACTCCAGTCAAGGGCAGATAATTTCAATAATCAAAAGTTAGGATACCTGTAATCTCTTGAAGAATAATTGAATGGTTTATTACTATAATTGCATCAGTCAGAGGTGGGTTAATTCGCATGGTTGTTAATGCATTGTGTTGAGTAGGCTGTAAATGCTATTAGGTCTTTAGACTTCTACCACCGTAGCTGACCACCAACTCCACCATAAATGTCTAGCCTGGCTGCCCAAGATAACCACCACCTACTCTACTTTCTGCTTGATGTATAGAAACAGGCGGCATGACAGATGTGAGGCCGACTGAACAATTTAACTTGTTCAGGACATGGAGGAGAGGAAGTTAGGGGGTGGAATCCAATGTCCATCAGCACCATCTGCCTGGTCAAGGCAAGATTATGTCGCTTGACAATTCTGCAGTTAAATAACAACAGATGAAACTGACCACTTCTGCCATAATTCAGAAAAAAAAATCATTTTTTTTTATTATAGTGGCTGATTGCTGATTTGATTGTCTATGTAAATAAAGGACACAGTTGGAAATAGAAATTATTTCATACAAACTTGATTGTTTAAGTGCTTGCAGGAATGACTCAGTGGTTAGAGCAAAGGATAATTAATGGCTGTGAGGTAAGAGTTTCAATGTTCAATGAGAGATCAGTGTCAAGTAAGAAAAGAATAATCTAAATTAAAATATACAAAAGAAGTTTTTCATTTAACATTAGTTTTAAATTTTAAAATTTTAAATCCTTAGTAGAGATCAATATCAAGTCCTTAGTTCTGTATCTAACACAAACATACAGTAATGCTGATCACCTGATAATAATGGTCAGGTGATAATGATGGTCACTTGATAATAATGGTCAGGTGATAATGATGATCACCTGATAATAATGGTCAGGTGATAATGATGGACACTTTATAATAATGGCCAGGTGATAATGATGGTCACCTGATAATAATGGTCAGGTGATAATGATGGTCACTTGATAATAATGGCCAGGTGATAATGATGATCACCTGATAATAATGGTCAGGTGATAATGATGGTCACTTGATAATAATGGCCAGGTGATAATGATGATCACCTGATAATAATGGTCAGGTGATAATGATGGTCACCTGATAAGGCAACAGGGATATCCATTTTAGTTGATGTGGTTTCTGTTATTTGGTAAATTTCTTTGTTTGTGATTTTGTAGTGCTAGTCCACAAGGTTTGAAGAATTCACCAAAACCCATAGGCTTCACTCACTCAAAGCCATTTTTAATCATTGAGCTTGGAAGTGGTCAGGTGATAATGATGGTTACCTGATAGTAATAGTCAGGTGATAATGATGGTGTCTGATAATGATGGTCAACTGATAATAATGTTTAACTGATAATAATGCTCATCAAATAATAGTTATCAAATGATAAGGAAACATTTGACATTCATTGACCAACCAACCAGAGCTATCAAAAAAATGTTTCTCAAGTTCAGTGACTGTTAGTTCTCTTTCCAGTATTGATGGGGGTATTTCCTTTCTTACCTTTTGTTTGAAGTTGTGTGGAATGTCAACATCTTGATTGTGCCCTTATTTCTTCCTTGCATTATATATGCTATCCATTTTAGTTGTTGCTACTGTTGAATGTCCTCAAGTGGTGTAGTTTTAGCGATTTGGTTCAGTTCATTGTTTGTGATTCTGTAGCATCAGTACACAATGTTTGAAAGAGGCTATCATCACCAAGATTCATAGACGTCACTTACTCAAAGCCATTTTTGATCTTAGAAAATGCTGACCATTTTTGATCTTAGAAAAAGCTGACAATTTTGATATTTCTGAACAGGTTTGAAACACTATAAATAAAATAAATTTCTCAAGTCCAGTAGCTGTTATTGATCTTTCCATCAATGACAGGAGTTTCTCTCCTAATCTTTTATTTGAAGTAGTGTGAAATGTCCACATCTTGATTATTTCATTATTTGAATAGAAAATAATGAAATGAGTGAATTGCTTGGGATATCCATTTTAGTTGAAGTGGTTTCTGTTAAAAAATTTGGTTTCTGTAAAAATT